AAATTCCCTCTCACCACTTACTTTTCTCTCTCTCCCCCTCCTTTCCTCTCTGGAATCCATGAAAATATATTTTTAAAAAACATGTAAATATGCAAATACAATAGCATTCCCAAACCCCGAGAAACCTCTCCTGAGCCGAGGACAAGCTGAGCCGCCGGCTGGTGACCCCAGGATCCCCGTCCAGGAGGCCCGTCCCCCAGCCTGGCCCCCGGGTCCTGGCCTGCGGGGGCCTCTCTCCTGCCAGGGGCTGGTGCCGGAACCCGGGGGCGGTGGTGCAGGCCTGGGGGCCTCGGGGGTCGGGGGTCGGGGGCCGCCGAGGGCCGTGGGGGCGGACTTGCCCTCGGCCGGGGCTGGTCGGGCGCGGACACCACCACGGTGTTGCAGAGGGCGAGGGCGATGAAGAAGTCAAAGACGTCGGCCAGCTCGGGCGGGAGGTGGGCCAGCGGGTGGGGCTGGTGCCTGGCGAGTGCCAGGCGCCGGTCGCACTCGCTCAGCTTCTCCAGCAGCTCGGGGTCCGGCCTGATGTCCTCCTCCTGCAAGAGGCCAGGCTGAGAGGCCGCTCTGGGTGTGTCCGACCAGGGCGCTCCCGAGTGTCTTCGGGGCTGGCGGAGGCACCTCGAGTTCTTTCATTAAAAAAACAACAACAACCAAAAACAAAAAAAAAGCCCTCGCCCTGGCTGGGGTGGCTCAGTGGATAGAGCGTCGGCCTGCGGACCGAAGGGTCCTGGGTTCGATTCCGGTCAGGGCATGTGCCTTGGTTGTAAGCTCCATTCCCAGTGGGGGGTATGCAGGAGGCAGCTGATGGGTGTTTCTCTCTCATCGGTGTCTCTAACTATCCCTCTCCCTTCCTCTCTGTAAAAATCAATAATATATATATATATATTTAAATCCTCACCTGAGGACATTTTTCCATTGGTTTTTAGAGAGAGTGGAAGGCAGGAGAGAGGGGGAGAGAGAGAGACAGAGAGAGAGAGAGAGAGAGAGAGAGAGAGAGAAACTTTGATGTGAGAGAAACAGCCACTGGTTGCCTCCCACTCACAGCCCAACCAGCAATGGGGATCAAACTTCAATCGAGGTCTGTGACCTTGACAGGAATCGAACCCGGGACCCTTTAGCCTGCAGGCCAACTCTCTATCAACTGAGCCAAAGCAGCCAGGGCGATGTGATTATATGAGAGAGAACGTGAGGGAGATGAGAGAGACAGAGAGACAGAGAGAGACAGAGAAAGAGAGAGAGAGAAACATTGATGTGAGAGGAGCCTGGACCGCCTGCCTCCTGCACCTGCCCCGACAGGAGACAGTCCTCGGCCTCGGTGGTGGGGGCCTCACAGCCACGACAGAGCCCCCCGAGGGCTGAGGGCGGGCGGCAGCGGGGAGAGGGGGCGCTCACCATGGGGCTGCTGTACGTGCGGTGCAGCGGGCGGAAGCTCTGGCGGCTGCCGATGCTGCCCCGGGGCCCTGGCTCCTCCGGGTCCGAGTCCGCCTCCTGGTACTGGGCCAGCCGCCGGGCTGTGGGGAGAGGCCGCGGGGGGACATGGGGGACTGACACGGGGGACTGACACGGGGGACACAGGGCGTGCTGCCTGGCGGGGTCCCCACTGAGGGAGGGAGGACGCACCTCCTCGCCACCACACGCGGCTGAGAGCCCAGCCCATTTCACAGACGGGAAGACCGAGGCCCTGAGGGCTCACTAAGGCCCCAGGAAACAAGGCTGGGGTGGGGGTGGGGGTGGGGAGGTGGTATTAAGCCCGTGGGATGCCAATCTTAGGTCTTATGTTTTGTTTTGTTTTTTTTAGATATTTTTATTGATTTCAAATAAGAAGGGACAGGGAGAGGGAGACAGAAGCATCCATGATGTTTCTAACTCTCTATCCCTCGCCCTTCCTCTCTAAACAAATCAATAAAATGTATTAAAATAGTAATAATAGCCATCGATGGGAAAACAAAAACCCTCTGGTGAGGGTGAACAAAGAAACACCTGTCTGGCTGGAAGGATGTGTGTGTGTGTACATATGTGTGCACACGTGTGTGTTTATGTGCGTGTTTACGTGTGTGTGTGTGCTTGCACAAGGCCCGGCTCGGTCCAGCCCCAGGGCTCACCGTTGGCGTCTTGCAAGTACATGTGTGTGCGTGTGTATATCTCTATGTGTGTGTACATGCGTGTGTACGTGTGTGTGCACGTGTGGGCATGCATGAGGCCCGGGCTCACCGTGCGCGCCGTGCAAGTACATGTGTGCATATACGTGTGTGCGCACGTGCATGTGTGTGTGCGTGTGGGCCAGGGCTCACTGTTGGCGTCGTGCGAGTACATGTGTGCATATACGTGTGTGTGTACGTACGTGTGTGTGCGCGCGTGCGGGCGTGCACGAGGCCCGCGCTCACCGTGCGCGCCGTGCGGGTACATGTGTGCAGATACGTGTGCGGGCGCGTACATGTGTGTGTGGGCGTGCACGAGGCCCCGGCTCACCGTGGGCACCGTGCGGGTACATGTGTGCAGATACGTGTGCGGGCGCGTACATGCGTGTGCGGGCGTGCACGAGGCCCCGGCTCACCGTGCGCGCCGTGCGGGTACATGTGTGCAGATACGTGTGCGGGCGCGTACATGCGTGTGCGGGCGTGCACGAGGCCCCGGCTCACCGTGCGCGCCGTGCGGGTACATGTGTGCAGATACGTGTGCGGGCGTGTACATGCGTGTGCGGGCGTGCACGAGGCCCGCGCTCACCGTGCGCGCCGTGTGCGTACTCGCAGCCGGCCACGCTGCAGCGCCGGAAGGCCAGCCGGTTCTCGGTGAGCGTGCCGGTCTTGTCGGAGAAGACGTGGCGGACCTGGCCCAGGTCCTCGGCCAGGTGCAGGGCGCGGCACCGCGGCCGGGCGTCGGCCCCCGCGTCGTTCAGCCCGGCGTCCTGCTGCAGCAGCTGCGCCTGGCACAGCCTGACGACCTCGAGGGACACGTACAGCGAGACGGGGACCAGCACCTGCGAGGGCGGCCGCGTGAGGCCCCCCCCGGCCGAGCCCGGAGGGGGTCTCCGGTCCCGCCCACCCGTGCACCTGCAGGAGGACGACCGTGGTCAGGAAGGAGTATGCCGCTGCGGTGGCCGGGGACCGGGAGCTGCCGTCCGCCTCGGGGACCCAGAACAGCGCCTCCTCCTGGTGCCGCCGCACCCACGCGCCGTGGCCTGGGGGGACAACGTCGGGGGGAGCGTCAGGGGCCTCGGGCGGGCGGGCAGGCGGGCGGGAGCCAAGCCAGAGGCTGTGGCTCAGTGAGCAGGGGACCTTTGGCCCAAGGAGCCTGCTGGTCGCCTAAGAAACCAAAGCACAGCCCGGCCAGCCGGCTGGCGTGGCACAGGGGGCGAGCGTCCGCCTGGGCACCGGGAGGCCAGGGTTCGAGTCCCGGTCAGGGCCCAGGTCCGGGCTGTGGGCTCCGTCCCTAATGTGGGGGCGTGTGGGAGGCAGCTGATCCGTGATGTTCTCTCGTCACTGATGTTTCTCTCTCCCCCTTCCTCTCTGACACCAATAAAACAGACATATATTTTTTAAAAGACAGAAAAGTGGCCGGCTGGTGTAACACGCTCAATGGTTGAGCAAAAGATCCAGGAACCAGGAAGTCACGGTCTGATTCCCGGTCAGGGGCACAGGCCCGGGTTGCAGGATCTGTCCCCATTATGGGGTGTGCAGGAGGCAGCCGATCCATCATTCTCTCTCATCGCTGGCTTCTCTCTCTTCCTCTCTGAAATCAATAAAAAATAAATAAATAAATAAACAAACAAAGCCCTAGCAGGGTTGGCTCATGGATAGAGCGTTGGCCTACAGACTGAAGGGTCCCGGGTTTGATTCTGGTCAAGGGCACAGACCTTGGTTGCGGGAGGTGTGCAGGAGGCAGCTGATCAATGTTTCCCTCTCATCGACGTTTCTCTCTGTCTCTTCCTCTTTCTTCCTCTCTCTCTCTAAAGATCAACGGGAAACTATCCTCGGCTGAGCATTCACAACAACAACAACATAACAGTAAAAACAAAACATCCTTGCCGAAACCAGTGTGGCTCAGTGCGTAGAGCGTCGGCCTGCGGACGGAAGGGTCCCGGGTTCGATTCCGGTCAAGGGCATGGACCTTGGTGGCGGGCACATCCCCAGTGGGGGCCGTGCAGGAGGCAGCTGGTCCATGTTTCTCTCTCATCGCTGTTTCTAGCTCTCTATCTCTCTCCTTTCCTCTCTGTAAGAAATCAATAAAAATATAAACAAACAAACAAAGGAACAAACATCCCTCCATGTCCAGGCGGGGTTGAGGGCGGCGCCCGAGGCCCGCTGGGCAGCCGGCAGCCGGCGTGGGGACGCACTCACCGACGGCGGACACCAGGCACAGGCCCACGAGCAGCAGCACACACCTCAGCACGTCCCTGTCCATCTGCCGCTCCAGCTTGCTGCGCTTGTAGCGGGGGCCGCTGCGGTTGAGCAGGGCCTTGGTCTCATGGCCTGCGGGGGCGGGAGGGCGAGGGAGAGGGGGAGAGGGGGGAGAGGGTGAGGAGGTGCGGGCGGCCCTGCCCAGCGGGTGGACGAATAATGCTGCTGCCATCCTGCCATACCGAGGCCCATGGCCGGCAAACCGGAGCCCAACAGCAACAGGACAACGATGGGCGTGTCTTTGGAGAGCCACACTGTTTAAACGCGAACTTCTTTTTCTGTTGTTATGATTATTTTTTTGTATATATTTTACTGACTTTTTTTTTTTTTAACAGAGAGAAAGAGAGAGGGACAGAGAGTTGGAAAAGTATATAAAAACATACATTGATATATTAAAAATAATAATGACAAAATAAAATAAAATGAAAAGAAAAGGAGCACACAGGACAAGGAGGGCAGCCGGCGCCGCCCCGCCCCCGCGTGTGACATGCGTGTGACATGCGTGTGACGGCGTGTGACCACATGGAGTGCCCACCTGCGTAGACGACGATGCCGACCACGGCCTCCGTGTTCCGGACGGTGCAGCCGCGCAGCAGCAGGTTCTCCCTGTGCAGCCCGGCCTTCCGCCCGTCGCTGTGCGTGCTGCGGGGCGTGGGGAGACGTGTGTCACGCGTGTGCACGTGTGACGGGGGACACCCCCACGGGCCCTCCGTCCCGGGGAGCTGCCTCAGGAGGGGAGGCCGGGACGCCGCCTGGTGCAGGGCGGCAGGGAGGGCGAGCGGGGACCCCGGAGGGCGGGCCCCCTGGGCGGGCGCTCACACGCAGCCCCGGAACCTGCTCAGGTCGTTGTTGGGCCTCTCGCACTCGACGACGCCGGTGAAGGTCAGAGGGTCGAAGGCGGAGGCCTGAAACAGCAGGGGGCGTCAGAGGGCGCCGGGCTCGGCCGGCTCCGGCCGTTTCATTTAATCACTAGAGGCCCAGTGCATAGAGATTCCTGCAAGATCCGGCCTTCCTTCCCCCGGCCGCCCGGACCGCCCCCGCTCCGGCCAGAGCCGCTGCTCTGCCTCCCCACAACGCCCAGAGGCCTGGGACACCCCCAGAGTATGCAAATGAACCCTCCATCTTTACTGGGTTGATTTGCATACGCGCGCCTGACTGGCTGGTGGCCGTTGCGAGGGAGGGCACGGTCCATTTGCATCTTACTCTTTTCTTCATGGAGCTCTTTCATCGTCATTATTTTTTATTTATTTTTATTTCTTATTTTATTTATTATTTATTTTTTTAAACATTTGAGTTGCAATTTAAAAAATATATATATATATATATATTTTTTTATTGGTTTTTCACAGAGAGGAAGAGAGAGGGATAGAGAGTTAGAAACATCGATGACAGAGTCATCGATCAGCTTCCTCTTGCACAACCCCGACCGGGGATGTGCCGACGCTGTCCTCTGAGCCAAACCGGTCCTGGCTGTCATTATTTTTTAAATACGTTTTTATTGATTTCAGAGAGAAAGGGGGACAGAGAGAGAGAGAGAGAGAGAGAGAGAGAGAGACGTCCTGAGACGTCCTGGCCGAGGGTCAAGGCCCCCGAGTGCCAGACAAAGGCCAGAAGGAGCCCTCGCTTTGAAGCTCCGCCCAGCACAGAGTCCACAATACCGCCCTCCTTTGAAGCGGCCGCCTTCACCCCTGAATCAAAGGGCTTTTTAAAATTTTTATTTTGATAAGCCACTGTTTCTTGTTGTTTTTTTTTTTATATAATATATTTTATTGATATTTTACAGAGAGGAAGGGAGAGGGATAGAGAGTTAGAAACATCGATGGGAGAGAAACATCCATCAGCTGCCTCCTGCACACACCCCACTGGGGACGAGGTCCATGCCTTTGACCGGAATCGAACCTGGGACCCTTCCGTCCGCAGGCGACGCTCTATCCACTGAGCCAAACTGGCTAGGGCTATAATTATTTTCAATATATATATTTTTGGGGGGGGGGGTTGGGGGCAGGGAGAGGATGGGAGCGAGAGAGAAACATTGATGGGAGAGAGACACATCGCATGCGTCCCAACTGGGGGCGGGGAGCAAACCCGCGACCCTTCTCTCAACGGGTGGGCGCTCTAACCACTGAGCAAACAACAACAACAACAACAACAACAACAACAACAAAAAACCAGCCATGGCTTTTTTTAAAAAAAATATCTTTAGCCAAAACTGGTTTGGCTCCATGGATAGAGCGTAGGCCTGCAGACTGAAGGGTCCCAGGTTCTATTCTGGCCAAGGTCATGGACCTTGGTTGAGGGCACATCCCCAGTGGGGGGCGTGCAGGAGGCAGCTGAGGGATGATTCTCTCTCATCGATGTTTCTCTCTCTCCCTCTCCCTTCCTCTCTGTAAATAAATCAATAACATATATTTAAATATATATATATATATATATATTTCTTTAAACAGGATGGGCCTGCGTAGCTCCCCGCCTGCTAGAATGAAATATTTTTTTTTTGTCTCACATCGGCGAGGGAGTCCTCAGCATCCTTTCCTTCCTCCGTGGCTCCCCTTAGAGTGCACTCCTCCCCCAGCCCCACAGAACACACCGCTAATCACCGGGACCCCACCACCACCGCCACCATCGCCGCACGCCGGCCCCCGTCCCGTCCGACCTCGACGGTGCCCTCTGTGTAGATCCCGGGCGCGGTGACTAACCCCCCAGGCGTGACAGAACAGCCCTGACATTTCCTGCAGAAGGCTCGGTATCGACCGATCCAATTAGCACCCGTCTCTGTCCCCGGAGGTGATAAATGTCTGCTCCCCAGGCACCCGGCAGCGGGGGCCGCGGTAATTCAATTAGAGACTAATTGCCTGCGAGGCCGAGGGAGGGAGCTGCCGCCCGGCCCCTCGCACCCGCCTCCTGCCACCTCTCGTTTTCTCTCTTTGTGAAGAATCTATTTCCTATTGACGTCAGAGGGGACGGGAGAGGGAGGGAGAGGAACACGGACCGGCTGCCTCCAGCACGCCCCCCCCCCGCCCCCACATCGGGGATCAAGCACGCAACCCGGGCACGTGGCCCGACCGGGAATCAAACCCGTGACCTCCCGGTTCCTAGGTTGTTGGTGGTTGGCAAACCTCGGCCCCTCGAGGGTGTAGCCGAGGCCAGCTTAGGAGGACCCTAATGAAGTGAATGACAATGTGCCTGCCTAGATGGTTCACGTTTAAAAAAGTGTGGCTCTCCAAAGAAATGTCAGCCCTCGACGGTGTGGCTCAGCGGAGAGAGCTCAGACCACCTGCGAACTGAAGGGGCCCAGGTTCGACCTCAGCCAAGGGCACAGGCCTGGGTTGTGGGCTCGATCCCCAACAGGGGGTGTGCAGGAGGCAGCCGATCTGAGATTCTCACTCATCATGGATGTTTCTAACTCTCGGTCCCACTTCCTTTCTCTCTGAAATCAATAAAGATATATATATATATACACACACACACACACACACACACACATATACATATATATATATATATATATATATATATATATCTTTATATCTCTATATCTCTATCTATCTCTATCTCTATCTCTATCTCTATCTCTATCTAATCTATATTGCCGAAACCGGTTTGACTCAGTGGATAGAATATTGGCCTGCAGACTGAAAGGTCCCAGGTTCGATTCTGGTCAAGGGCATGGACCTTGGTTGCAGGCATATCCTCAGCGGGGGGCGTGCAGGAGGCAGCTGACCGATTATTGTTTTCTCATCGATGTTCCTCTCTATCCCTCTCTCTTCCTCCTTGTGAAAAATCAATAAGATATATACATTTTTAAAGATATATGTATATGTATATATATATATATATATATGAAATAAATTTCAATCGTTGTGCTGTCGATGTGTGGCTCTGTAGACTCATGCGTTTGCCAACCCCTGGCCTAGGTCGACACTCAGCCCGGAGCCACGCCAGCCACGGAGCCACGCCGGCCACGGAGCCACGCCGGCCACGGAGCCACGCCGGCCACGGAGCCACGCCGGCCACGCCGGCCGAGCGAGAACATCCGTCCCATTCCTTCCCGGAGAGAGTGGGAGGGCGGGAGGCCGGAGGGAGAGAAAGGGAGAGACTCCTGCTCCCCACAGCTGCAGGTCAGGGGTCCACTCAGACCCTCCGGCTCCCCTCTGTCTCCTCGGAGACGCAGCTCGGCATGATGGGGGTGTGTGTGTGTGGGGAGGGGTCTGCAGGCTGGCAGGCAGACGTGGAGCGGTGCCCCGATGCCCTGGACACCCCCCTGGCTCGCCCCCTCTCCCCGCCCCGCCCCGGCCACTCACGGGCTCGGAGAAGCCGCGGACCGCCTGCCGCCGTTTGAGGCTCGTCTCGCCGTCCAGGCTGGCTGTGTCCACGTGGCACTGGCCGCCCGGCGCGCTGGAGGCCAGCAGCAGGATGTCGGCAGGCACCATCTCGTCGCGGCCCAGGCGCACAAAGTCCCCCACGTGCAGGTCCTTCCAGCACCGGCTCAGGAACCGCTTCTGCTCCCTGAGGGCGAGACGGGGTCCCCGTGCGCACGGGGCCACGCGTGTGCTGACGTGTGGTCACGTGTAGGCGGGTCGGCACGGGGCTGCTTTGCTGTATTGCTCCCTCCGTGTTTATAACGGGTCGGCAGTCAACCCGCACGGTTAACCGGTTAAACCGCAATAGTGTGGGTTGTTAACCAGCACGTTAACCAGTTGTTAACCAGCACAGGTTAATATATATATTAATATATATATATTTTTTTTTTAATATATTTTATTGATTTTTTTTTTTCACAGAGAGGAAGGGGGAGGGACAGAGAGCTAGAAACATCGATGAGAGAGAAACATCCATCAGCTGCCTCCTGCACCCCCTCCCCCACTGGGGGTTGTGCCCGCAACCAAGGTGCATGCCCTTGACCGGAATTGAACCTGGGACCCTTCAGTCTGCAGGTCGACGCTCTATGCACTGAGCCAAACCAGCTAGGAAACATTTTTTTTTTTAATTCTTCTGATATTCTGGAAATAATTGTTTGTTTTTTTTTAAATACATATATATATTATTGATTGTTTAAGAGAGGAAGAGAGAGGGATAGAATGCTAGAAACATCAATGAGAGAGAAACATCCATCAGCTGCCTCCTGCACACTCCCCACTGGGGATGTGCCTGCAACCAAGGAATCGAACCCAGGACCCTTTGGGTCCACAGGCTGAGTTCCACTGAGCCACACTGGTTTCGGCTGGGATTATTGGTTTGTATATTTATTTTATGGCTGGGGGGATGCAGAGAGGGGAATGCGGCAGGGGGTTATGGGGGCGGGGGGGGACACGGGCACACTCCGGTCTCTCCCAGCGCCCAGCCCTCCAAAGAACTCCCTCAGGAGGCCAGGCCCAACAGCAACACCTCCTGCTCCCGACAGACGGGCATTGACGCGGCCCCAGGAACAAGGACGGCTTTGTCCTGGCGCCCGCCGGCTGGCCACACGCCTCGTCACACCTCGTCACGGGGAGCTCCGCGTGTTCCCCGGCCGGCGGGCACCGCGGACCCCGGCCCGGGGCACGTGGCCAGCTGCCCCCGCCCCAGCCTGACCAGGGGGGACGTCAGAGTGAGCCCGGTCGGTGTGGCTCAGGGGTTTGAGTGTCGGGCCAGGAACCAGGAGATCCGGGTTCGATTCCTGGTCAGGGCATGTGCCGGGGTGGCAGGCTTGATCCCCAGTGAGGGCGTGCAGGAGGCAGCCGGTCTGTGATTCCCTCTCATCACGGATGTTTCTCTCTCCCCCTCTCCCTTCCTCTCTGAAATCCATAAAAATATATTTTAAAAAGCCCACAGAAGCCCTAACCGATGTGGCTCAGTGGATAGAGAGTCGGCCTGCGGACTGAGGGGTCCCGGGTTCGATTCCAGTCAAGGGCATGTGCCTGGGTTGCGGGCACATCCCCAGTGGGGGGTGTGCAGGAGGCAGCTGATGGATGTTTCTCTCTCACCGACGTTTCTAACTCTCTCTCCCTCTCCCTTCCTCTCTGTGAAAAATCAATAAAATATATTTTTAAAAAACACCCCCCCCCAACAAGTCAGGGCACTGTACCTCCCTCCGGTGCCCCCTCGCCCCATCCAGAGCACACCCGGGCACCCACCCCCCAAACCCCGAACCCCGAACCCCAGGCCGAGCGCAGAGCCGGCCTCTCCCCCCTCCCCCCTCGCTGGGTCACCGGGCCTGCTCTCCTCGGAGGCTGCCACACAATCACAATCACAATCCCGGGAGGGGCCCTCGCTGCACAAATAAACACGTCTCTTTCTTCCCGGGCCAGACAGGGCCCGGCCAGGGCCGCCCGGTCCCAGGAGCATGCCCGCCCGCCCGCGTATCAAAGCCGCCCGGATCTGCCTCCGCCCGCCCCGCACACGGAGAAAACAACACCGCCCGGCTCCCCTTTCCCAAACACACCGTGTTCCCGCTCCTCCTGGCCCCCGGGAGCCGGGAGCCGGGAGCCGGGAGCCGGACTTGGTTTTGTTTTTTTAGAGATGACAAGGAAGCCTTCTGTGCTCAGAACGGGCTCCCGCACACGTCCACGGGCGAGAGGGATAAAGGAACAGGACATGCCCTCTCGAAAGGAAGGTCCCGGCCAGGGTGGCTCAGGGGTTTGGGCGCCGGGCCAGGAACCAGGAGGCCAGGGTTCGATTGATTTATATGTTTATTTTATATGTGTATGTATATGTACTTATATATATAATGTATATACACATACACACACATATATACATATATATATACATATATATATTTCTCCAAAGGGAGAAATGGGACGGAATACGTGTTTAAAATTTTCTGAGAGAGAGAAACATTGATGGGTTGTTCCACTTATTTTTAAAAAGATATTTTATTGATTTTTACAGAGAGGAAGGGAGAGGGAGAGAGAGCGAGAAACATCAATGAGAGAGAATCATCCATCAGCTGCCTCCTGCGCACCCCCTGCTGAGGAGGTGCCCGCAACCAAGGCCCATGCCCTTGACCGGAATCGAACCCGGGACCTTTCAGTCCGCAGGCCGACGCTCTACCCACTGAGCCACACCGGTCAGGGCTTATTTTATTTTTTTTAAATATGTTTTTTTTTAAATCAATTTCACAATCTACTTTTCTTTCTTTTCTTTTTAAAATATATTTTATTGATTTTTTTTTTCACAGAGAGGAAGGGAGAGGGAGAGAGAGTTAGAAACATCCATGAGAGAGAGAAACATTGACCAGCTGCCTCCTACACACCCTCTACTGGGGATGTGCCCACAACCAAGGTCCATGCCCTTGACCGGAATCGAACCTGGGACCCCTCAGTCCACAGGCCGACGCTCTACCCACTGAGCCACACCGGTTTCGGCGTGGGCCACTCGTTCTTCATAACCAGAGACTCCAGTCTCCTTCATGCCAGGTCCTGCAAGACAACCCCCCCCCCCTCCGTCTCCGACTGCAGTGACAGGCACGTTTTATATTCTTTTCCCACACCCCCAGGATAAAGGCCTTTTCCAAGTTAAAAGCATGAAGGCCAGCCGAAACCGGTGTGGCTCAGTGGGTAGAGCGTCGGCCCGCAGACTTAAGGGTCCCGGGTTCGATTCCGGTCAAGGGCGTGCACCTCGGTTGTGGGCACATCCCCGGTGGGAGGTGTGTAGAAGGCAGCTGGTCAATGTTTCTCTCTCATGGATGTTTCTAACTCTCTATCCCTCTCTGAAAAAATATCGATAAAATATATATATTTTTAAAATGTTAAAATAAATAAATAAAAATAAAAAGCATGAAGGCCAGACACAGACAGAGAGAGAGGTGACCTCACGGGCCACTTCCAACTCCCGTGTGTCCACACAACCCACCCCATCAATGTGGAAAACAAGGACTCGGTGGGAGAAAGAGCCGGAGGGCGGGAAAAGGCGAGGGAGGGCGGGAGGGAGGGCCACGCCGAGAGAGAGAGAGAGAGAGAGAGAGAGAGAGAGAGAGAGAGAGAGAGAGAGCGCGAGCGCCGGCCGGCAGGAGGGCACGCGAAAAATGCAGAAATCAAAATAGCCGCTCCCTTTTTCCTGCGAGCTCCAGGGCTATAAACAGGAGTGCCTTGGGCTGCTCCTGGTACGGAATGCGGGAGATGCACCGGCCCCACAGAGCCCGTGTGGAACACTCCCAGATCCGGTCGAAACCGGCGTGGCTCAGTGGGTAGAGCGTCAGCCCGCAGACTGAAGGGTCCCAGGTTCAATTCCGGCCAAGGGTACATACCGTGGATGTATATGTCTCTCTCGCCAGTCCGTGTTTTTCTCTCTCTCTCTCCTCCTCCCTCCTTCCCTTCCACTCTCTCTCTCTAAAAAGTAAAGCCCTAACCAGTGTGGTTCAGTGGATGGAGCGTCGGTCTATGGACTGAAGGGTCCCAGGTTTGATTCTGGTCAAGGGCAGGGACCTTGGGTGCAGGCACATCCCCAGGAGGCAGCTGATGGATGATTCTCTCTCGTCGATGTTTCTAGCTCTCTCTCCCTCTCCCTTCCTCTCTGTAAAAACTCAATAAAATATGTTTAGAGAAATAAAAAAAATAAATAAAATTTCCTATTCTCTTTCCGCCCGCGGCCCGCTCGAGGCCAGAAAACTCCGTCCAGGGTCCGGCCACCCTACAAGGGGCCAGCAAGCATCCCTGGGTGACCCCAGCCTGAGTGTCCCCAACTCTGGGGAGGTTCAGGAGGGAGAAACCAGGGTCAGGAGGGAGACAAGCCCAATGGAACGAGGCTCCCCAAACGCCCAGAAGCCTCAGTCTTTCCATCTGGGAACTGGGCGTGCTGGGAAAGAAAATCCAAATGGTCCTGCTTGGCCGGCTTAGGGGGGTGCTACTCTCCCCACGGCGCCTGCACCCCTGGCCTGGCCTTGGAGACCCCATGTGCCCCTGGCCAGGCCTCGAAGACCCCGTGCACCCCTGGCCAGGCCTAAGAGACCCTGTGCGCCCCTGGCCAGGCCTCAGAGACCCTGTGCACCCCTGGCCTGGCCTCGGAGACCCCGTGTGCCCCTAGCCGGGCCTTGTAGACCCGGTGCGCCCCTAGCCAAGGCCCCCGCGCCCCTGGCCCGGACTTGGAGACCCCGTGCGCCCCTGGGAGCCCCCGTGTGCCCCTGGCCCGGCTTTGGAGACCCCATGCGCCCCCGGGAGACCCCCCGGGCCCCGCTCACCCGCTGAAGACCTGGCAGCGGCGGCGGTCGGCGGCGCGGGCGGCGCGGTGGCGGCGGAGGGCGGCGCACAGGCCCCGGGCGGCGGCCGCGGCCCCCAGGAACAGCACGGGCGCCAGCGCCGGGCCGGGCGGGAAGGCGCTCACCGCGGGCACCAGGCTGAGCAGCGCCACCAGCGCGAAGTGCGCGTTGGCCACGCGGCGCAGCGGCCCGCACAGGGCGCCGGGCAGCAGGGCCAGCGCCGCGCACGCGCCGGCCTGCAGCCGGTTGTCGGCGGGGCCGCCGCGCCCCCGGGGCCGCCACCACCGGGGTCCCCACCGTCTCCATCCCCATCGCCATCGCCATCGGGGCCCCCGTGCGCCCTCGGCCCCGTGCGCCCCGACGGGCGGCGGCTGCAGGGCGGAGCGCACAGTGCGCGCCCGGCTGTCCGGCCGCCTCCTCCGCCGCCTCCTGCGCCCCCCTCGCCGGGCCCGGGGCGCGGGGTCCTCGCCCGGGTCCCGCTCCATCGGCCCCGCTCCTGCCGCCGCTCCGGGGATCCTCGCCGGCGGGACGCGCCCCCGAGGAGACGGAGCCGGAGATCAGCCCGGCCGGCCCCGCCCCGGCCCCGGGGAGAGCGCGGGAAACCCAAACCCAGCCGTCCCGGCGCTCAGTTTCCGGTCCGTCCGCGCCCACGGGGAGCCGGGGAGCCGGGGAGCCGGGGAGGCTCGCCCCCGGGGCGGAGAGAGGGCGCGGCACCAGGCTGGGGACGAAGGCGCCTTCCTCTTGGGGCAGCCTGGGTTCCTGGATGGGTTCCTGATGGGCACCCATGGGGGACCCAGGGCCTGGAGACCCTCCCTCCTTCCTCCCAGGCTGCCTGGCCTCCTGGATGGGGGTGACCCGGATTGGGGACCCCGATTGGGGACCTCTGGGTGGGGGTCGGGAGACCCTCCCTCCGCTCCTGGAATCCATCAGAATCGGAATCCGAAGGAGCCACGCCTCCCCAGGGCTCAGATTTCTCCATCTTCCTCCCCTCGCAGGACCTCCATGTGCTCTGGGGACCCCTCTCCCCTATACAGACACCCCCTTCAACCCAGAAGACACCTCCTGCCCCTCCCGCTTGGAGATTCGCTTCTGGGGTGAACGAGACGTTTTCTTTCCCCGCCAGGCGGCCTTCCCGACTTCTCTAAATAGTATTAATTAATCAGTAATTAGTCCATTAATTAATCAATAATTAACTAATTAATTAACTGATTAATACAGGCCCTGGCTGGGTAGCTCAGTTGGTTAGAGCATTGTCCCCCATATACCTCTCTCTCTGTAAATCAATAAAATATATTTTTAAAACATATATATTTTATTGATTTTTTTTTTTCAGAGAGGAAGGGAGAGGGAGAGAGAGTTAGAAACATCGATGAGAGAGAAACATCCATCAGCTGCCTCCTGCACGCCCCTCACTGGGGATGTGCCCCCAACCAAGGTCCATGCCCTTGACAGGAATCGAACCCGGGACCCTTCAGTCCGCAAGCTGACGCTCTATCCACTGACCCACACCGGTTCGGGTTGGGGGTAGATTTTGAGAGCACTAAGATGGCTTCCTCCGAGGATTTTTATCTCCTTTTTGGTTTCACAGTTTACCTTTCCGTCTCCACCCCACGTTGGGCTTGGGGCCTGTGTGGGCTGTGAGCTGGTGGTCCAGTTGCTTTATTTTATTTTATTTTATTTTTTGCAATGTGCCTGGCCGATTTTCCCAACACCCTCTGCTTGCTTATTTATTTGTTTGTTTGTTTGCTTATTTATTTATTATTCCCTGTCAAAGCATATGGCCGGGGTTGTGGGCTTGATCCCCAGTAGGGGGCGTGCAGGAGGCAGCCGATCCGTGATTCTCTCTCATCGTGGATCTTTCTCTCTCTTTCCCTCTCCTTTCCTCTCTGAGAGCAATAAAAAAATATATATATTTATTTTATTTTTTTAATATATTTTATTGATTTTTTTTACAGGAAGGAAGGGAAAGGAACAGACAGTTAAAAACATCAATGAGAGAGAAACATCAACCAGCTGCCTCCTGCATGCCCCCCACTGGGGATGTGCCCACAACCAAGGTCCATGCCCTTGACAGGAATCGAACCCGGGACCCTTCAGTCTGCAGGCCGACGCTCTATCCACTGAGCCACACCGGTTTAGGCCATTGGCTTGTTTTTGTCTCCAAGTGTGTATGTGGCGGGCATTCTCTTTCTTTCTTTTTTCTAACCACATTTTTATTGATCTCAGAGAGGGAGAGGGAGAGAGAAACATCAATGATGAGAGAGATTCATGGGCCGGCTGCCTCCTGCACGACCCCTGCCCTCACCCCAATGGGATGGAGCCCACCACCTGGGGTCCAGTCTGCACCCAGCGGTCAGGCCCGGGGAGGGGCTGCACGGGGCCCTGAGCGGCTGGTGGAGCAGGCCTCCTCAGGATGTCAGGGGACACGGTGTTGGGGAGACAGGGGGGCATTTTTTCTCCGGATGCCCCCATCCGAGACCCAGAGGCCGCCCAGGCGGGAGAGCCTGTGGGCAACACTGCCACCTGGTGGCGGGTGCCCACAGCCCGCAGGACACACAGGTTTGTGTTTGTTTGTTTTTATTTTTTTAAAATACATTTTATTGATTTTTTACAGACAGGAAGGGTGAGGGATAGAGAGAAACATCGATGAGAGAGAATCATCGATCAGCTGCCTCTTGCAACTCCCCCCCCACCACCACACTGGGGATGTGCCCGCAACCAAGGTACCTGCCTTTGACCGGAATCGAACCCGGGACCTTCCAGTCCGCAGGCTGGCGCTCTATCCACTGAGCCACACCCGTTTTGGATGCTTGTCTGTTTTTAAACACGTTGATGGATTTCAGAGAGAGAGAGAGGAAGGGAGAGGGAGAGATAGAAACATCCAGGACGAGAGATGAGAGAGAGAGAGAGAGAGAGAGAGAGAGAGAGAGAGAGAGAGAGAGAGAGAGAGAGAGAGAGAATGAATCACGGACCGGCTGCCTCCTGCATGCCTGCCTGCTGGGAATGGAGCCCACCACCCTGATTGGCAATCAAACTGTGACCTCCTGGTTCGCAGGCCAATGCTCAGCCACATGGAGCCACCCAGGGAGCCTAGGCTTCTTCTTCTTTTTCTTTTTTTAATCTCGTGCGGGCGGGAAAGTGTGCCTCCACCCCCGGGGCGAGATCATCCCGGCCCCTGCATTTTCCGGCCGACTGGTGCGTGAACGGCTCCGAGGCCGACAAGAGAAAGCAAATTGAATTCCGTGTCGCGCGCCGGGCTCCGGTCGGACACCGCGAGGTTCTGATGACATTTCTTTTCTGGGAGCCGCACGCTGGCAGCAGGGTCTGCGGGGGGAGGGAGGGAGGGAGGGAGGGAGGGGCAGTGCACCTGCCAGCTGCTGGCGGGGTCCGCTCCCCCTATGATGATGGCCTGGCCAGGCTGTGGGTCCACAAACTCAGAGGAAGGCTCCCTGGCTCCCTACAGGCCAGCCCGTGTGTGTCCCAACCCAGTACCCCGAAAACCCAGTGACTTCCTTTAAAAAAAAATATATATATATATATATATATATTTATATTTTTTTTATTGATTTTTTTACAGAGAGAAAGAGAGAGGGAGAGAGAGTTAGAAACATCGATGAGATAGAGACATCCATCCGCTGCCTCCTGCACCACCGCTACTGAGGGTGCGCCCACCACCAAGGTCCATGCCCTTGACTGGAATCAAACCCGGGACCTGCTGAGCCACACCGGTGAGGGCTTCCTTTAATTTTTTTTTAAACTACGTTTTTATGGATTTCAGAGAGCAAGGGAGAAGGGGAGAGAGAGAGAAGCATCAACCACGAGGGAGAATCATCCATCGGCTGCCTCCTGCAGGCCCCATGCTGGGATGGAGCCCGCAACCCGGGCCTGTGCCCTGATGGGGAATGGAACTGTGGCCTCCTGGTTCCTAGATTGATGCTCTAACCATGGAGCCACACCAGCTGGGCTCTGTGGCATTTATATATATATATATATATATATATATATATATATATATATATATATATATATAGATATATATATATATATTTAATTGATTTTCCACAGAGAGGTAGGGAGAGGGATAGAGAGCCAGAAACATCAATGAGAGAGATACATCGACCAGCTGCCTCATGCACAACCCCCACTGGGGATGTGCCCGCCACCAAGGTGCATGCCCTTGACCGGAATCGAACCCGGGACCCTTCCATCCGCAGGCCGACACTCTATCCATGGAGCCACACCGGTTTCGGCTCTTGTGGCATTTTAACCTGTGTGTGTGTGTGTGTGTGTGTGTGTGCGCGCGCGCGCGCGCGCGCGCGCGTGAGCACGGCCCCCGGTGGGTCTGAGGCAGGGAGGGGGTCTGAGGCCCACCCCCAGCGGGAGGAAGGAGTGTGGGCCGCCCACCTGGTACCTGCTCGCTGTGAGCCCGGGGATTTGCCGATGAGTCATGGGCCCTGGCAGAGTGGGCACGCTCTGTCACCGGCTCTGAGAACAGAGGATCTTTACAAAGACTTATTTATTCCAAACTCTCTCAAGCAAGGTCTCTTGTTCAAAAAAAAAAAGGGGGGGGGGGGAGGAGAGAGAGAGAGAGAAAGGAAAGCAAAGAAGAAAAAGGTCAGATGGTAAGAGTACGCCGGGTGACACCTTACACCGCCGGGGCAGGGTGCTCCGTGCACTCGGCCTCTCCCGCCCACCCCCACGGGCCCTTAGCCTGTTCCGTGTCGTTTCTGTGTGCAATGCTAACGTTTATCGGCACCTCTCCGTCCTCACACACATGGTCGGCGCCTTCGGAGCGGGAGGGAGGGGGAGAGAGAAGCAGAAACATCCACGATGAGAGAGGATCATGAATTGGCCACCTCCTGCACGCCCCCCACTGGGGATTGAGCCTGCAACCCCGTCATGTGCCCAGGAATCGAACCTGGGACCCCTCCGTCCCCAGGCCGATTCTCTATCCACCGAGCCACACCAGCCAGGGCTGTTTCACTGTTTTATTGTTTTGTTTTGTTTTTGTCCATTCCCACCCAAGGATATTTTTTCTTTTTCCTTCCTTCCTTCCTTCCTTCCTTCCTTCCTTCCTTCCTTCCTCCCTTCCTTCCTTCCTCTCTTTTCTTCCTTCCTTCCTTCTTTTCTTTCTTTCTTCCTTTCTTTCTTTCTTTCTTTCTCTCTTTTTTTTAGAGAGCAGAAGGGAGGGGAAGAGACAGAGAGAGAGAAATGTGGGTGTGACAGACACACACACCAATGGGTTGCCTCTCGCACCCGGGCCCCGATTCGAACCCTGGACCCGTCAGCCCCCAGGCCGGTGCTCTAACCACTGAGCCGGACCGGCCGGGGCTACCTCTCTTTGTTTTTAGGTCTCCCTGGACTGACTCGGGAGCTGGGGTCCAGGGGACAGTGTGAGGCTAACCCGATGGTGCTGTGTACGTCATGGGACGGGGCGTGTATTCAGGGGGTCAGGGCAGGCAGAAGGAGGTAGAGGGGGGTGGAGGGGAGCCGTGGGGATGGAAGGAGACGGGGTCGTGGGTGGTGGGTCCACCGCACAGCAGGCGGAGCATGTGTGATGGATGGTGCCTTCCCAC